CATTTTAAATCATTTATTTATTTATTTATTTATTTATTTATTTATTTATTTATTTATTTATTTATTTATTTCCAAGATTTTTTTAGCCACGCAGTTACCAGTGGTCTCTGAGCACCGTACAGCAATATATAAACTTTAAAAACATTAAAAACAGGCAATATTATAATAATATCTTATATTTAAAACAATCATTAAAACATTGATATTAATAAATCCTGCTGCTTATATGGCCAGCTAAAGAATACTATTTAATTAAAATGCTGGCTAAACAGAAAGGTCTTTGCCTGGCACCGAAATCCAAAAGTGTTGGAGCCATGTGGCTCTCTATAGGGAGGGTGTTCCAAAGTTGGGGAAAACAGCTGAGAAGGCCCTATTTCAACATGCCATTCCTCTCACTTCTTTCAGGAATGGCACCTTCAGAAGGGCCTCCTGGCCTGATCTTAGAGGACCGGCAGACTTGTATTGAAGAAGGCAGTCCTTTAGGCAACCAAGTCCTAAACTGTTTAGGGCTCTATATGTCAAAGTAAGCACTTTGAACTGGGCCCGAGCAGCATCTGTCAGCCAGTGTAAATTTTCAGAACCAGCATGATATGCAGCTGTGGGGCAGCACCACTTACCAGCTGCACAGCCCAGTTCTGTGCCAGTTGCAGTCGCTGGACCATCTTCAAAGGCTGCCCCAAGTATAGCTCATTGCAGTAGTCCAGTCTGGTTGTTACCAGTGCATGTGTGATTGTTGCCAGTCTCCTCATCCTGGTAAGGGCAAAGTTGATATATTCTCTGCAGCTGTAGGAAGGCACCCCTGGACACTGAATCCACCTGGGCTTCCAAGGTCAGACCTGGGTCAAGGAGCACCCCCAAGCTGTGGCCCCTGTCCTTTAGGGGGAGTGTAACCCCGTCTAAGGCAGGAAATTGCCCTTTAATTTGTCTGGCGGAGCACCTACCAGCAGCACTTCTGACCTGTCTGGATTGAATCTCAGTTTATTGACCCTCATCCAGTCCATGATTGAGTCCAGGCATGATTTCAGAATGGCGACTGCCACACCTGGATTGGTAAAGAATGAGATGGATGTTGTCAGCATATTGCTAACTCCTCAGCCCAGACCTCCTAACAACCCTCCAGTGGTTTCATGTAGCTATTGAATAGCCTGGGGGACAGTATGGATCCCTGAGGAACCCCATGACACAACCACCATAGATCAGAACTACTGTCCCCCAGCACCACCTTCCGGACTTGATCAGCCAGGTAGGAGTGGAACCATCGTAAAACAGTGCCTCCCATTCACATCCCAGCAAATCTGTCCAGAAGGACACCATGGTCAATGGTGCTGAAAGCCGCTGAGAGGTCCAGGAGAATCAACAGGGATGCATTCCCCCTGTCTTTCTCCCAGCAAAGGTCTTCAAACAGGGCGACCAAGGCAGTCTCCGTCCCATAACCTGGACTGAAACCCAATTGAAATGGATCTAGATAATCCGTTTCATACAGGAGAGCCTGGAGCTGCTCAGCCACCACACGTTCCAACATCTTGCCCAGAAAAG